AAGGCATGCAAAACATGAAAGTACGCCCCCCTCCGACTGCCGGTGAACTTCGAATACGGTTGTTGTAGGTGGTTACTGTATTGTGATAACGGAGGAAAAACCGTATTATCGCAGCCATGACGATGTATCCCGAGAGTGTCGCCACCTACATAGTTGTCCTACCCAAAGAATCGTGCAGTGTTGGAATCAAAGAGAAAGGAGGCGGTAGATAATAATAAAATGCACGTGGGTACGGCACGCGTTCGTTTCTTGCTAAGATGCCCGCTTGCGCGGAACGACCTGCTCGTGCAGTATGAATAACAACAACGCCGTGTGAACGAGGCAAGTGCCACCACTATCTCCACGTGAGATTGGTGGGAAGCTCATAATTCCGTAATATCGTCAACCAGTTGGCACCATGTGGAATGCACACGCTTATATACGCAAAGAACAAAGTGGCACGTTTTCCGTATCGTCATGCTTCTCTCACCTCTTGATCCCCCTCTCTCTTAGTTAGCCTCGACCACGCCCGCGAGAAGCAATCGAGCGCGTTAGCCCAAAAGATCTGGTTTGATTCATTCCAATCCTGCGGTAGTTGTGGAAACTTCAGTAACGGCAGATGAGTGAAGGATAGCCGCCACTGCGTTGTACAACCTGTCCCTAAAAATCACAACGTTGCTGCAGTCCTTTATTTCTGCAGTCCTTCGAGGAAAACTGTTACAATGTAGTCAGACACAGTTTACCATAGGTGCGACTGCGGCAACTAGCCTTCCGTGGACATGATACAGAAAGAAGAGATGGTACGTAGCAGAGAACATGAGCACAGAGTTGTAGCGGAGATAATTTGGCAGGCGAGACTGTATTTGTTTTATTGTTCCGAACCCCGAAATTCCGGTACTCGGGCCCATACCCCGGAGACCCTCGGAACCTGCTGTGTTTGCTGCTTGTTTATGTTTTTGTTGTTGAGCTAAGACACAAGGGCGCCTTCGCCCCTTGTGCTCACTCTCATCTAGCACCCATCTAAGCCTGACCAGGGAGTCAGTTGATAACATCTATCTACATTTCTCTTTCCGAAGCTCGCTCGGGCCTACCGATCTCACAGCAGTGTAACCTCTGTGATAGACTACAAAGTCTTCGAGCTACAGTAGCGCCGCGGTGACAGCAGTGTAACCTCTGTGGTAGACTACAAAGTCTACGAGCTACAGCAGCACCGCCACCTCCACTGCNTTTGCTGCTTGTTTATGTTTTTGTTGTTGAGCTAAGACACAAGGGCGCCTTCGCCCCTTGTGCTCACTCTCATCTAGCACCCATCTAAGCCTGACCAGGGAGTCAGTTGATAAGAACATCTATCTACATTTCTCTTTC